GGCTTCGGCCGCCACCCGGGCAAAATTCAAAATTTCCTACCAACTGAAAATATTAGGTGTGTCCCGCGCGCTCATATGACCTTATGCAGTTGCGAGCAGGGGCGAAGGCTGAACTGTTTGACAGGATAATCAAAGTGAGATGGGACCAGATAGGGCCTGGAGATATCACGCTCACACAAGTCACAAGAATCTTTCTGGCACTGGAGGCGGCAACTCTGAGTTGTGAAGGAAAACAAATCCTGAATTCATGTTGTATGCATATTCAACCGCTAAAATAATCGGGAAAATATTTCATTAAATATTTATTGTAACCTTAAATTTAACTTTAGATTTGAACACACGAACACCAAAGAAAGTAGCAGAGATGTCAGTACTACAATGGCATGTTATACCAGAAAGCCGAAACACTTTGGTAGAGCATGCCAATTATTAAAATTTTATTTCACATTTGGCTGTTTTTGTCTCGCTTTTCTCGGCCAGGAGCCGGTGTCATAATCGAAGTCACGATCTGATAACAGGACGTTAAAAAGTCGAGGAAAAAAAAAAAACAAGCACTCGCAGCAGTCAAGATATTATTAGGAGTTAGTTCCCCTCACATCTGTGAGGTAGACTCGACAAGTGTAATCAGTGCTTATAACTGTGGCTCGAAAGGTGTGAACAGGGTATATGTGGCAATGAAACAGTTTTGACTGCTATGCACATGTTCCCTTCAACTCTATTGGTAGACTCTTCCAGCCTCACTTTAAGCTTACTTTTTTAAATCAAAGCCTGTGACTGCTTATGGAGTGGCCCGATAGGGGTGAACAGGCTATTTCTGTGGCAGTGAAACGGTTTTGAAGGTTAGGTATAGTCTATTATTCATTGGTGATTATGAACGTCGTTGTACATTTAATTTATGAGGTTTACGTCTATGAGTGAATTTGACTGCGACAATGTTTCAAAATTAGGAAGGGAAGCAGTGATTATTTGATTATATAGACGCTTCGCCACTGGTTGCGAGCGCCGTAAAACACTTTACAAAAACAAACAATAAACGCACTCACCACAGCAGATATCTTTCTTTTATTTAACTTCTACATGTACATGCAATATTACTGTATTAGCACTAACCATGGTTGGCCGGGAAAATTCGCGACAGTACAATGCCTTTCATGCCCTGACTCGGGTCTTAAAGGCAAAGCTCACAACGTTCCTAAAAGGAGGTTCGCGAAATTCCGATCTTTCTAACATTTCAATTTGGCTCACAGACTCAGGCCACGAGGAAGGATTTTTAAATTATAGGAATACAATAACTCAGCCAACTTCCGACTTTAACTTATTAACAAAGTCAAGAAAAGTTATAAGTGTTGCTATTTGATGCCGGATGTTCCATTTTTCTTCTGTACTGTAACGACAAATTCAAACAAGTTGGGTGTCAAAAGTCAGAATACATTGGTGTTTCTTGTATTTATAAGTTATTGGCAAAAATATGTTAAAAAAAAAAATAGATAGCCTATAAACCTAAAAGAACGGATTTTGTCGCTCAGCATGGATTGCCGGCCATCGCGGCGCGGCGTCCATCGTTATAAAAGGGTTCATTTTTCTGGTTCAAAGATCCAACGCCGGTGTTTATGATGCAATGGTTAGGCCTTTGACTGTTGCATGCAGTAGACATGGGTTCGCTTCTTGTGAGGTGAAAGTATAAAATACTGTCGAGTATCACGGTTTGTCTTTTGCAATGTATCCCTCTCAGTCTGGGTTGACCTCGTTAGTCCGGGTTGAAACAGCCTGCCTCCCATCTAATCTAAATTGTGTTGATGGGGAATGGCGTATCTCGGTGACTAATAATTAACCTAACCTGTGCGTTGAAAAACTTCTCGACAGTCGTCACTAGCCTGTGTTCTGTGTTAACTGACCTTTCAACCACCAGCTGAAGACCCCATGCTGAGTGGAATTTCCCAGAGCCCACTTTATCTCTTCAGAATTTCCGCCAATGTCCCCTTTCTAGGCTACGAATTTTTTTTTTTAAACGAAAAAAATAGAATGATGTCTTTTTCAGTTTAGTCAAAAATCCTTCAGCCGTTGACATTTCTTCCATCTGTTCATGTACAAAAAACCCACAAACCCCCCCCGACTGGACCAGAAGGGGGAAAAAAGGGGGTGGGGTGGGGGTGTCATAGAAGATAGAATATAATATAATAGCCCTTGACAGTTAACTACACATAAATAAAAGGCACACAGAAACCTCAATTGGTGTCACACTGGGGAATTTTGGCGGATGACACCGGTTTGAATCCTCCAATGGCGATGTCACGGAGGTTGGTTGTCTGTGGCTCTCATGTTGCGCCTACTTGGCTTGGTCCTATCTGAGGTAGTCATCAAATTTATGAGGTCCAGAGAGGGTGTCATAGCCTTATTACATGTACCAATCTTCGGCACTTATTTAACTTCATTGTGTTGCAAGTACCGTAACACTCTTTCAAAAATGAAAGTTTCTGGAGTTTGTAGTGTGTTACTCGTAGAATTGTGCATGCACTACTACATGTACTACAACCACAAGGGACCGTTCACAAATGACGTCAGCTAAAATTTGGCCAGAC